TATGTGTATGAATGTATATATGAATATATGTGTGTATGCATATATGAATGGATTAGAATTGAAGATTTTAAAATTTTTCGTTCCAACATATGAACGTATGTACATATGAATGTATTAGAATCGAAAATTTTGAAATTTTGCTGTTGGAAAAATTATAAATAAAATTATAAATGCAAATATACATAATTATGAATGGATACCTGTTTTTTTCAAACTGTGGGTAAACATATAGGATTGAATTTTAAACATAAAGAAAAGGTTTAGTCAAAAACAAAATAATAATTTATGTATGTAAAAATATGTGTATGAATGTATATATGAATATATGTGTGTATGTATGTATATATGAATGGATTAGAATTGAAGATTTTAAAATTTTTCGTTCCAACATATGAACGTATGTACATATGAATGTATTAGAATCGAAAATTTTGAAATTTTGCTGTTGGAAAAATTATAAATAAAATTATAAATGCAAATATACATAATTATGAATGGATACCTGTTTTTTTTAAACTGTGGGTAAACATATAGGATTGAATTTTAAACATAAAGAAAAGGTTTAGTCAAAAACAAAATAATAATTTATGTATGTAAAAATATGTGTATGAATGTATATATGAATATATGTGTGTATGTATGTATATATGAATGTATTGGAATTTAGCATTTTTTACAGGTTTTCGCTCGAACAATAAAAATAAAATTTTAGGTAGATACATACGTACATAAATTGTGTATGTATATTTTTTTAAAGCTTGCTGACGAAACATAATATTCAAAACAATAACAAATGAAGCATTAATATTCAGTTGCCACAAAACATCTGATGTCTTTTATAAAATCTGACATTTATTTAAGTTTATTTCGATTTTTCGAAATTAAAATATATGTGAGATCATTGCATTTTCAAATATTATTTATTTCTCGGTTTGTGTTTCTAATAATAAAAATAACGTAAAACGTATCATTTATTTTTTGGTTTGTGTTTCTAATTATAAAAAGTATAAAAGAAAAACGTGCTTTTGTTATACAAAAATTTTTTCAGAAAATCTTAAAATAGAGCTATTTCGGGGCTAAAAAGTTCCAATGTCAGATTTTTCTGGGACCCTAGAGGCAAAATTCTACCTAATGCCTTTTGTCCCATGTCTCTAGCCCTTCTAGAAGTACCCGTACTTTTTACCACCTGAGAAGTAGCTATATATATATAATGTAAAATATGATGGTTTTTGATGAGTTATACGATATATGAATAAAATATAGAATTATTAAGGGAAATTCAAGGTACTGCGTAGCCTAGTGGTTAGCGTGGTAGTCTCATAGCCAGAAGGTTATTGGATCAATGCTTGCCTGGATGTTGTATTTTTCTTTTTTTGGATTATTTTAAAAATTTTTTTTTTTATTTTGTTTAAATTTTGTGTTTTATTTTTTTTTAATATATAACTGATAAATGTTATATAAAAGTTTTAAGAAAATTTCCAAAAAAATATTCTTATAATAGTTTGGAAAAATTCGCAAAAATTTTAAGTACATAAATATGTATGTAGTATGTATATTTTTTTTAAAGCTTACTGAGTAATTTTTTTAAGCTTTCTATATGAATTTAATAATATTCAAAACTGTAGAATAAATAGAAATAAATTTTAAACGCATAATTATTATATCATGGGGGTAAACTTACAAAAATTAATTTCTCAAATAAAGAAAAGGTTTAGTCAAAAACAAAATAATAGTTTATGTATGTAAAAATATGTGTATGAATGTATATATGAATATATGTGTGTATGTATATATGAATGGATTAGAATTGAAGATTTTAAAATTTTTCGTTCCAACATATGAACGTATGTACATATGAATGTATTAGAATCGAAAATTTTGAAATTTTGCTGTTGGAAAAATTATAAATAAAATTATAAATGCAAATATACATAATTATGAATGGATACCTGTTTTTTTTAAACTGTGGGTAAATATAATTATAAAAAGTATAAAAGAAAAACGTGCTTTTGTTATACAAAAATTTTTTCAGAAAATCTTAAAATAGAGCTATTTCGGGGCTAAAAAGTTCCAATGTCAGATTTTTCTGGGACCCTAGAGGCAAAATTCTACCTAATGCCTTTTGTCCCATGTCTCTAGCCCTTCTAGAAGTACCCGTACTTTTTACCACCTGAGAAGTAGCTATATATATATATAATGAATGAATTCAGCAACGAAATATAATTCGTGCATGAATCATAATAACGCTTACGAAATAATATAATACATACTCAAAATCTGTAACGCATCTACGCAAGTAACGCAGAGACAAATTTGATTTCTACAGAAAAAAAGGCTAAAATTTTATATATGTACATAGCTCTTTTACTTATACATATACTTAGTTTCTCCAAATTGTAGGATTACACCTGTGATAAGTTGCTCACAGGTGAGTACGGACTGTACGAAGCCTTTTAGATTTGCTATGGTTACAAGACGGAACTCAAAATAACTTTTTTTTATATTTTTTATAATCATGAAGTCCAACGTGTTAATTTTGTTTTACTGTTTTCAAAAATATTTAAAATTAGTGCACTAGGGGCTTCAGATTATATGTAATGTTTAAATTATAATATTGATATTATTCACAATATGTTGATAAATGTAAACAAATTGTATTCTCGCAGATTTTTTACTTATTTCTAGTAAATGTTTCACTATGCTAAATATTTGTATATGCAATAAATTGTACCTCTTGTTTTTTATTTGAATCTTCAGAACTTTTGTGTCATCTAAAATATTTTATTTTAATGAAGTTTCGTTTTTTAGTTTTAATGAGCATTTTTTACATTTTGTACAAGTCAGAAACAGTAAATACAAATTACTTGCCAGATTGAACTCGAGCACACAAATATAATCACCAGATTGAACTCGAGCAACTGTCGAATTAGATTGATGTAGAGCATTATACATTAATGGATTTGAAAGATTGGGCTTTTTATTTTACAAAATAGATCTAAAGAAATTTTTTAGGAAAATGGTAAGCATAATAATTAGAAGCGTTCCAAAATTATAGATGGATTAAATCATAAACTCCTACAAGACATTACATCAAGACACCATAATATTTTTGCAAATAAAATGACAACTGAATTTCATTAGTCCAGATATAAATTTCCTACGTGAAAGATATATCGCTAGGCGGTTAATTATTTTATATGTTGTTTAAAATTTAATTTTAATTTAGATTTAGTGAATAATTATATGTATTTATTATTTGGGTTATTAAATAAAACGAAGATTTATAATTTATATTATTAAATTTTTTTTTTGTTCGTAATATAAAACAAAGGTAATTTTAAAAAAATAATACTAAAGTTTATTTAAAAAGAAAAATTGAGCAACATAGAGAAATTCCAATATTTTACTTTGGAAATTAATTTTTATATGTGCAAGACCATTATATAGCACTGAAATGACATTATGAATTAAGCGGTTGAAGAATTAACATAATTTGTTTTTCATGTTCTTAAAAAAGTAATTTTTTCAGCAAAGTTCAAATCAGAATATTGAAGGTTAAGAAATAGAATCAACACATGTTCAAAATTTACAAACACATGGTTGATTATGCGTTTTTTCGGAATTATATCTATACGACCCATTACTACGACTACGTATCATCTTCTAAAATATCAACAAAAAAATGTGTTGATGTGTTATGTTCAGAATTATTTTATGCTGTGTCTTCCAATATTATTTTTCCTATTAAATTAAAATAAAATGAAACAACAAATTTTCTTATTAAAGTAAGCAGTGTAATAAAATAACACGAAGCATCAAGATTTTTAAGTTTTCAAATGTAAAATAAGTGTTTAAAATAAAATTGTATCAAAAATTTAATTAAAATTTAATTATTGTTAAATTTTTATTCGATTTTGACACAATCGTACAACTTTTATTAGATGATTCCGAACAATAATTTTAAATTATTATTTCTAATGTATAATTTTAAGCACTTTTCCCAACATTTTTTGAAGAAAAGTGCTTATTAGTTTCACTCTGTCCGTCCGCCCGTCCGTGAACATGTTTACAAAACTTCTACACCGTTGAAAGCTGAAATTTTATATGTGTATAGATCTTTACTAGAAACTTATTTCCGTAGAAAAAAGTTTTTACCTATCTCACCCCCTCTAGAAGTTATACCCCCCAAAACCTTAAAAATGGCCTTTTTTAACTATTGTGAAACCATAAGTATTTTTCAAATTTTGCAAACGCAGAAAGGCAGTGGCTTGCTTCTCCTATCGTGGCATACGTTCAAATTTACCGTTATCTAAAATTCGTTTTTTCCAAATTTTTGATGTAATTTTTCTTCTAGACCCCAGGTTGTAGGAGCCTGAAATTTTAGCAGCTTTTAGATACTAATAAACAGTTTATTTCGTTTGAAGAAAATTTTTTTCCATTTCCCCCACACTCAAGGTATTGAAATTTTCTAAAATTTGAAAATAAGACATTCTTTATTTCCGAAACCAGAAGCTTTTTCAAATTTTTGTTAACGCTGGAAGCTAACCGTAAATTCCATGCCATTAAAAAGCATAATTATTTTTCTTAACTCACGCAATAACCCTTAAAATCGAGCAATATGTTAAGCCCTCTTTAAATTAATTTTTGTTTTATTTCAAAGACTGCATAAATCGTTCATCCTGAATATATGCAATCCTAGAAATAATTTCGTATGTGAATGAAAATATTTTTAATAGTGTGGTAGATATACTAGACGGTGTTTAAAAGCAGTATTTTCACGAATTGTTGAAGAAAAAAGTGCTAAAATACAAACTATTGTTTTGACCCAACTTTCTTTTTATTCTAATAATATTATATTGACAAATATAGTAACATAAAATACGTCACATAAAAACCGGATTATTACTTCCAATAAGATTTTTCCTATTAAATACAGAAAAGTAGTTTTAGAAATTGTTTTTATCAAAAAAATTCGAATTTTTTTTTATTGTTTTAACAATTTTAGTATGTGGATCTTTGGTGTTAGTAAATTGTATATAAAGATGTCTATGACTACATATATGGAAATGGTAAGAAAATAATTTAGTGGAAGTGCAAACTCGGTTATATAAGAATTTTTCTTATTGCAATTTGATTAAATCCCCGGAATTAATGTTCCATTTAAATTCAATTAACATTTTTGAGCCTATAAGTAATGATTAAATGTGAAAAAAATATTCCCGAATATTTAGATCAAAAGCTTCCAATATTATTGGAAAGAAAATTTTTTGTACTGTTATGATTTTATATGGCAACATATACATACATGTATATGTATATGTATACATATGGTTTTTAGGCTACATTTCTTGTAACGTTGTAGATAAACCATGCTTAAAACGTGTTCACTGCTGAATAATTTACAAGTGGGTACATATGCAATAATAAATAAAAATTACCGATAATGATGCACAACTCATAATACAAGTATGTAACGTATGCAGATGTTGATTTCTATTTTGCTATCGTTGTTATCGCAATATATATTGCTGTATGATGACTGTGTACCTTGTGTGTGATTACGTTATGTGATAATCTGATGTAGTAAATTTCATAACAATGATTTATGTATATGATGATATCAATTTTGAAGTTTGATGTATGTGATAATATACTTTATTTCAGGCCCTTATGGCAATTTATTTTTTGTTTTGGGAGAAATCAAAGTGTTGTCAGCTATCATGCCAAAAATTATATAAACAAAAGCTTTGGATCGGAAATAAGGGATTATAGCGCCTTGTCTTGCATATCATGATTATATGAAAGTGGGGTACGTGGATAATGAAAAAATATAGTAATTTGTGTTATAAAAATTTGAGATAGGCCAGTTAGGGTTTCTAGCTAGTTTTAAATTAGTTTAGTTGTATAAGTGGCGTCTCTTTCGATAGTTTTAAGTCATTTAAACATAGGATATGTAAATAAGTTTGCCCTTCAAATCCTTCTTCGTGTTTCTCATGAATCCCATTCGAATTATTTGTTTAAGCTGGTAAATTTAACGGTAAAACACAAGTGTTTGCAATAGATCGCTTCAATAAACCAGTTAATTTTGTTTTTATTATAGAAATACAAAGCAGTCCATCATACTCCAAGTGTACTACTACTCGTCCCATTAGCCATCGACATTCATCCTTCAGAAGAATTAGGTTATCCACTTTTATTTTTGTAATCTTTTCGGTCCACTTTGGTCCCTGTTGTATTCTACTTAGATATTCACTAACTTCATCGAGGCCAAAATATTTATTGCTATGTTTTTATATATTTTCATCTGTTAAGGCAATTGATTTTCAGTTCTAATAAGGAAGATATTGGTGGTGTCAGTTACGAATCTACTTATTCCTTTTAAAAAATGAACTTAAGTTAGTGCAGTTAAATCACTTGGATCACTATTCATTTCACATAATGGACGTGAATTAGAACACGTAGCAAAATCTTCATAAGATAAAGTTATATTAACCAAAATTCACTTCCAATACATTTTGGTAGAACAAACTCCTACTTCTCAGAGTACTCCAAAATGATGAGATCTTGGCAGAATAAAGCTGGTAGAATAAATTTTAAACCCTTTGCTTGGTTTTTTTATTCAATTGCTTATTTGCTGCTACAAAATTTGTACCTATCGTAAATTGTCGTAAAAGATTTGCTCAAATTTACTCCGTCTTCCTGTGATAATGCGCAATAAGCCGTTCTGCTGTAACAACTGTTAATATTTCTGAATGTATTTATATTCTTGACTTATACAATATATGATTTGTACCTCTTAGTATTTCTGCCAGTATGGGTTTTCAAAAGGTTCGCAGTAATCATATCCAAAGTCACTAAACGGTCTAATTTATTGAAGTCTTGGTTTTGGTATTCATTTTTGTTTGAGTTGCTATCTTTAATTTACATTAATTTATACATTTGTGTGAGTAGTGTTTTATTATGCTCTTCGTGTTTATTAACCAGTAGTATTTAGCATAAATCCTGGACCACCATGAAAAGTATCTTCAAGTAATTTGTTCATTAATAAATTAGTAAACAGTTCTCGACCGGGTAAAATAATGGGGTATCGACAATTCGAAATCACTCATTCGTTCACCCTCTCTCAATTTTAAGTGAATCTGCGACTACTATTGGGATTTTTTCTGCTGTATAAGTCTTATTTCTGGTTGTCATTAATTTCTTCTGTTTGAATGTACTTGTTTGAAATTCTTTTCGACGTGTTTCTGATATTGGTTACTAATCTGGTTAAGTAACAAGTGACTTTAAGTAATTTTTGCTACAATGAATATTTTGATGCTAATTCTTTGAAAGTGTCGTTTCTCTGAAGTCTAGAAAATACCAGATGAGTTGCAGTTTTCTTCTCTCGAGATTTCTTAGAGCAATTTTTCTTTTCTGAAGCCCATTGTTCTGGTTAGTAAAGCCAATCAGGTTGCTGCCACTATAACTTACAGAACCTCCATTCAATAGCTGATGTTCCGCGAAGTGCACAAACTGCAAGATTCTATCTAGGAGAAATTCAAGGCGAGGCATTATTTCCCATTGTGTAATTTATGTCACCAACTCTAGGTGCAAACGATGTTCATTTGGTTGGTGGGATTACAGGCAAGCAAACACTACTTCTAAATCTGTCCGTACCAATGTATCGTGATTGCTTGACTAAAATTTGGTGTTTTTACTATACTTCGACCGAATTTAGATAAAAGAAATGCTTAACTTAATTTGAGCTATGGCAAAGATATTGCTTTAATTGGTAAAACTTCAGTCTTAGTCGATATTATACTTATATTTTGAGTGAAATTTCCATTTGCTGTGGCAATGTACGCTGTTTACGGAGCGTCGAAGAATCCATGCAGCTCAACTAATTTATAGTTTTGGTTATGATGGACTCATCTTCCTATTTGTATTTATTTTAATTTGTTCCCCATTCTTTATTTAGGTAATTGTCGTAACCGGGAAGTATCCTAACTAAACCCAGATTATCAAAGATGCTGAATTGAAATTTTCGCTACTATAATAAATGGTGCTAGCAATCCTATAGGATCGAACAGTTTCGCCACCTCTTTCAGTGCTTGGTAGGAGCTGTATTGAAATTGAATAAATAATAATATAATATAAAAAAATACATATAATTTACAAATAATTTGAAAGAATTAAAAATAAATTTTAAAAATACCAATAATATAAAAAAATTTTAAATTTGTGCTTAGTATTTGTCAATTAATTTAGTTTTATTTCAGTTTCCATGCTTTTCTTAGTAGAGTTTCACTCATATAGTTTTATTTTAGTTTTTGTCTACTCTACCTTTAGTAGGGTTTTGCGTTGTGCCATCCGAATTCCCTAAAAAGCTCGCCAGCTAGTTTCAATCAGCTCCGTGGTAAAAAATGTCAAATCGGTTTCCAGTTCGGTTGTTTAACTTGATCTTTCCTAAAAATTTATAGTGAAATTGTAAAATCGGCCTGTACAAAGTCCTGGAATTTTATTAATTATATCCTGGAAGTTTATCAATCCTTAACATAGCCAAAATAAACTCACTTATAAAATCTCATCTAAACCTGCTCAGCAGACACAAAACGACAGACAGAAAAACTTACCGAACGAGATACCATGGAGCAACGAATATTAGAAATACTAAAGGAAGCAACATGTTGGAAAACCAATGAAGCCAAATTCTTTCTAGTTGTCTGTTTCTTTGATCCAAGCTTTCTCGAAATCTCAACAGTAGCGTATTTATTTTTTCATTTGGTCTCTACCAAAAATTATGTGTAATTTTGTAAGAAAGATGCTTAAAGACTTATTTTTTTTGAAATAAAAACAAAAAAATATTTTTTCATTAAAAAAAATTATATTAAAATTAAAATAAATTATTTTATTTATTTTTAAATATTATTTTTTAAAAAAATAAAATTTAAAAAGAACTCATTAATATTTTTTATCTTTTTATATTAATATAATATTATTTTTAATTTTATATAATATAGTTCACTTAAAAAGTAGCTTACGGTATTTGAAAGTGAAAAGGTTTTTTTTTGATATTTAGTACTGACTTGGGTGTTACTTTCACAAAATCTTTCTTTCGAAATCTCTTACACCATTTTTATCGCCCAACTATAATATCCAAGTTTCGGAGCTATAACTTAAAATTGAACGTTTACATGATCTTGATGGTATTCTTGATTTAAAAAGGTGAGACATTTTATAATATGCTATGTTTGTTGTTAATAGTTTTGCATTTATGTCCAGATGCATATCGTTATTTGAGTTAATATGTGAACCAAGATACACAAAACTATCCACTCCTTCAAAATTGTAGATCATCAACGTAAAATTTTGGGCAATTCTTCTGGAAGGGCCTCGTGATACTACTGCTTATTTTGTTTTTTGTTTCATTTACTAACAGTTCATATTCAGGGACAGATTCCGTTGATTTCATTAAAACCTCTATCAAGTGCGATTTATTTTTCGAAAACACAACAATATCGTCCGCATATGGTAGTAGGTCTTTTCATAAACACAATATATTGCATTGTATACTGAAAACTGCGTTATATTTATATTCATAAACAAATGTTGCTAATCAATTTTAAACACAACAATATCGTCCGCCATTGGTAATAAGTCTTTTCATAAACACAGTATATTACATTGTATAATGAAAATTGCGTTATATTTATATTCATAAACAAATATTTCTAATCAATTTTGTTCATAAGCATTGGTAAAAATTTCTTTCTTTCACAAAAATATTTACATTATGACTAGCGCAGTTAAATCTGCTGTACTTTTTTACCAGTTTTTGCAATTTGGCTTTACATCTTTAAAATGTCTGAGTTTGATCCGATTGAAAGTCAATTAAGGTAAGAAAGCATAATTTCAATAAAATTTCTCATAACGTGTTTTAAAATTTGTTTAAATTTATTTATTTAGAGAATTACAAGAATAATTTTTTTTTGTTAACGACATTATTTACGCAATTTTTTTCGCAATACTGCAAATTAAAAGAGTAAAAGTTTTTACACAATTGTCAAAAATATAATGCGTATGTATCACATTGTTAAGATCGCGTAAATATATTTTCCCCGTTATATAAATCTTTTTGAGGGACAAAGGTTGGCATGGGTCCTAGTCAGTTTCACATTTTCCTGACATATGAAGCTGAAAATGCTAGGAAATGCCCTCTGAAAACATCAGCTCTGCCAACAAATTCGACTCTCACCTCCTAGAAGGTAGGTAACATAGTTATCTGCCGGGTGTCTCCTGGGCAACTTACTTAGTAAGGCTGACGAGAGCTAGTGAAAGCGAGTACTCGGCGCTTAATCCGGGTTTCGTTGGTTAGGAAACACGCGGGCGGTAAATCCAGAAGCGTCTGACCTAGAATAGGCGGCTCCCTGGTCTGCGTCTGATCCCTGAGGGACGGCAGTTTTTGAATCCTGGCAGTAGGTATAAAATGCAGAATTTAATCATTTGTGCAATGGACAAAACAAGAGGATTTAGTACCCCAGGTGGTAATTCAACTACGTTGGAGAATCCACCCTCTTCGGAGGTCGGCTCTACGGATTCTGGGGAGAGCCATTTATTGCACTTGATTGATCCGTGTGGCTTTGAAAAACGAGGTTCTTCAACTGAGGGCTGAGAATGAGAAGCTAAAGAAAGAGAAACATGGCCAAATTACAAACAATATGCCTAATGGGGGTAGTCATAAAGAAAAAGACGCTGCACCACAAGCAAAGCAGGTGAGGTCAATCTTGGACGCCTACTCAACAGATGAGGAAGAACTCGCCAGAGAAACAGATTGGGTCCTAAAGCAAAAGAGGACCAGTAAAAAAAGAAAAGCAGAATCATCTCCGGAAGTGGTTCAGGTGACGATCAACGCTGAGAAAGCAGCGGTTCCTGATTCTAAAAGTCGAGGCGATATCACGAAAAACTCTAGGCCGCCTCCAGTAGTCATAAGTAATGTGGTTGACTATAATCAAATAGAGTCAACATTGAAAAATAAGGACATCAATTATAAGGTTAAAATGATGAATAACAATCAATTTAAGCTTATTGTAAATTCCGAAATGGACTACAGGAATCTTACCAGAGCCATGAATGGATCTGGACTAGAATGGCATACCTATGAAACCAAGCAGGCCAGACCAATAAAAGTCATGGTAAGAGGTCTTCACCCCAGTTGTAAACCAGAAGATATAAAGGAAGACCTAAGCTCTAGTGGTTACAGGATCTTAGATGTAACCAATAAAATTAAAAAATAAAAGCAAATGGGAAAAACACTATGGTGCCTCTACCGCTGTTTATGTTAACATTCTCAAATGAAGAAGAGATGAAAAAAATTTATGAAATCGATTACATAAACAGGATGAAAGTTAGGATAGAGGCACTTCGAAAGGATAGGACTATTCCGCAGTGTAAAAGGTTTCAAAGGTATGGCATACACAAAAATTTTGCCAGAGAGAACAGAATTGTGTTAATTGTGCAAGCAGGCACTTAACATCAAATTGTAGTAAGCCAAAGAGTACTGCAGCAAAGTGTTCCAATTGCTTGGAGGCTCACCCAGCAAACTATAGGGGATGCCTTGTAGCTAAGGAACTACAAAAACGTAGAAATAAGAACAACAACAACAACTTGAAGAATTCTGAACGGCCACCGAGGCAATTCACCTCGAGAATAGTCTCAAAAGATGTAACATATAAGGACGTTCTCCAAACGAAAACTGATGACGGTGGCACGAGCAATAAAGCAAGGGCCAGTGACGTGAATGTTTTGTATAAAATGCAAAATATGATGCAGAATATGCTAGATATGATGGACAAAATCTCTCAGATATTGAGCACTTTAGAGAGCGAAGGGAAAAAATCGAATACCAAAAGCCCTGGTAAATGATGGCACGAGGTAATTTTAAAATAGCAACATGGAATTGCAATGGTATGCAAATAAAAAGGACATGCTTGAATTTTTTTTGCATACACAGAATATAGACGTGTGCCTCGTAACTGAAACTCATATGACCTTAAGAAGCAGGATTCGGTTTCCAGGTTATAGAATTTACAACTCGAACCACCCTGGAAATATAGCGAAGGGCGGAACGATGATAATAATAAAAGAAAATGTGGTGCATTGCGATCTGCACCAGATGCAAACCGAGGGAATGCAAATGACAGCGGTTCAGATCACTTCGACTAAGCAAAAATTTAGAGTGGCTGCATTATATTGTCACCCCAGATTTAAAATTACAGCAGAAATGTTTCAAGACGTTCTGACAGACCTAGGCGATAGATTTATATTGGGGGGTGACTTTAACGCCAGGCACACTGATTGGGGTTCAAGGCATACTTCAACTAGAGGAAGAGAACTTAGGACAGCAATTGGCGGCGCGAGGTGCCTTTTTCACTCTATTTCGAAGCCAACGTATTGGCCAACCGATATTAATAAGTGTCCAGATTTAATAGATTTCTTCATAACAAAACGTAGTTATCATCGAGGTACATGATAACTACGATCTTAACTTGGTGGTTATTCTTGAACTTAAGGAAAATATAGTTATGAAAAGAGTGAAACCTGCGCTGACAAATGGAACTACAGATTGGTCAAGATTTCGCTTAGAGATTGAACAACAAATAGATCTAAGGAAAAAAATAAGAACGACCCAGCACATAGATGAGGAGGCCGAAAACTTTACTAAAATTATTCAAAATGCGGCTTGGAGTAGTTCCAAAATTAATGCTATTAGAAGGGGGTGGCATTAACTATCCCCCACATGTACTAGCAAAAGTAAAACGAAGCAGGCGAGCGAGAAAGAGGTGGCAGCAAACGCGTGATCCTACTGATAAAACCAGACATAATCGTGAATCGCAGCAACTAAGACGCTGTGTTAGAAAATACAAAGAGGACTCAGTTGCTGATTATGTTCAAAATTTGACGACATGTAAGAAAACCAATTACTCACTGTGGAGGGCAACAAAGAAAGTGAAGCAACCTATCAAACATCTCGCTCCTATTAAAAACAAAGATGGAACGTGGGCAAAAACTGACAAGGACAAGGCAAATGCGTTTGCGGATCATTTGGCTGATATATTCTGCCCGCATGACAGCCGGGGCGTGTATGGAAATGAGGAATCTGCTTTTTTTGGGGATAGTGTGACTATTTCAATTGTTAGGGAAAGAGATGCTATAGAAGAAATCAGGACTCTTAAACCTAGGAAGGCCCCAGGATTTGACCTAACAACGGCCGATATTTTGAAAGAATTACCCAAAAGGGGTATAACGATGCTTACGCCCCTAATAAATGCGTGTATAAGGTTCAAATACGTGCCTGAAATTTGGAAAGTTGCAGAGATAATCATGCTGCATAAACCTGGCAAACCTATAGACAGGGCGGCTTCTTATAGATCAATCTCATTGTTGCCGATGATTTCAAAACTACTAGAGAAACTTTTATTGACAAGACTCCAGCCTATAATTGAAAGTATAAGGTTAATCCTGAACAATCAATTTGGTTTTCGCCGGAACCACTCAACCATAGATCAGTTTTATAGAATAGCTGACCTAATAGAAAATTCACTGGAAGAATAAGTATGTTCTATCATATTTTTGGACGTAGCCCAGGCCTTCGATAAGGTTTGGCATTGTGGATTAATAAAAAAACTAAGGCGATTACTACCAAGGCAGCATGTTGACCTGCTCGCATCTTACCTGACTAATAGGGTCTTTCGAGTTCAACGGGAAGAGGATATCAAGTTGGGGGTACCACAGGCCCAATATTATACTTGCTATACACGTGTGATAT